CTCACTCGCAGCACCACCATCTTCGACCTACGAGATCTTAAAATATTAATTAAAATAAGAACCCAACTGCTGACTGGTACGACGAATATTTAAAAAGAAAAATTTTGAAAAATCATTTTATTTAATTGTAAAAAAATTTTATTAAAAAAAATTTTTTTTAAATATGAAGATTGTTGGGTATTTAAATCACGAATCGAGCCATCTTTGCTAATAACTGATTGCTTTATTAGAATTTAATAACAAAAGATTACACTTTTAACATGACTTGAGGAAAGAAAAGATATATCGCCGTTCTTTATACGAGAACAATAGGGTGTCCGTTATTTTGGCGATTTTCGAAATTTGTACGGGACCCCCCCCTAACTTTTTAGTAAAAAAATAACAAAAATTTTGGCGCTAATAAAAAGTTCCTACGATGATTCTAAGTGGAGGCTCATCGATGTTGAAAATTAACCCGTAAATCTTATGGGAAAAAACATTTTTTTAGTATTTCTTCGGGCATTTCCACCGCAGTCAGTCTAAAAATCCAGCAAGTGAGATATCTTTTCTTGAATGTTTTCCACGTGAAATGAGCCTAGGCGGAACAAAATCGATCAATTTCCGGCCGAGTTATTCCACTTTGAACTTCAATAATTTTTTGGATGAAAAATTATTGAAGTTCAAAGTGGAATAACTCGGCCGGAAATTGATCGATTTTGTTCCGCCTAGGCTCATTTCACGTGGAAAACATTCAAGAAAAGATATCTCACTTGCTGGATTTTTAGACTGACTGCGGTGGAAATGCCCGAAGAAATACTAAAAAAATGTTTTTTCCCATAAGATTTACGGGTTAATTTTCAACATCGATGAGCCTCCACTTAGAATCATCGTAGGAACTTTTTATTAGCGCCAAAATTTTTGTTATTTTTTTACTAAAAAGTTAGGGGGGGGGGTCCCGTACAAATTTCGAAAACCGCCAAAATAACGGACACCCTAGAGAACAATCTAGAAGCGACCGTTAAATATACTCGTATATTTCAAAAGAACAAAGAGATAGTAAACATAAAATGACTGGTGAGGTGAGCAAAGTCACAAACTTAACGATCAAAGACAATTAACCAGTCGATAACACAGCAGATAAGAATGCGCGCGGATTGAATATCGAAATTACTTTAAATTCAACACGCCCTTCTCAATTCGAGCGAGAAAAAAAAACAATGTAACATATAATAAACGTATTATTCTATCCCTAACATCTCTATACATCTGTAGGGTTTAAGTTTTGGCAGAGCTTTAGTCAAAATGTCAGCTGCCATATCCACAGTAGGGACATGTTCCAATCGTAATTTGTTCTCCCTGATAGCTTGTCGTACAAAGTGATGACGGATATCAATGTGTTTTGTACGCGTATGCATGACCGGGTTTTCTGCTAGACTGATGGCCCCGCAATTGTCGCAACGGATTTTGATATCTGCTAACTCCTTCAATCCGAGTTCTGATATGGCGGCCGTGAGATAGATCACCTCTTTTGCGGTTTCCGAGAGTGCCATATACTCCGCCTCAGTTGAAGATAAAGCCACAGTGCGTTGCTTTACTGATCTCCAGCTGACAGCTGCACCACACATCAGGAATGCATAGCCTGTATACGATCTCCTATCGTATTGACAACCTCCCCAGTCTGCATCGGTATATCCCACAACAGGATCTTGAGATTGTGAAATATAAACCATAATTAGCAGTACCACGGAGATATCTTAACACTCTCTTGGCAGTAGTCCAATGTTTCTCCGTGTGACAATGATTGAATTGCCCAAGATAGCTCACAATGTATGCAAAATCTGGCCGTGTAGCTACTGCCAGATAGTTTAACGCTCCAATTAATTGCCGATAAGGTCTATCAAAGTTCTTCTCATGCTGCTCCGTT